CTTGGGGGGGGGGAAGGTCCCTCAGCCCAGGCCTATGCCCTCTTGCAGTGTGGGACCCCTCGGAGGATGTCCACCTGCTGGCTTAAGGCCCGCTCCCTGGGGGATCGGGCCCAAGCTGACAGTCAGACATCACTCTGGAAGCCTGGCAGCCTTCAGGGGATGTCCACTTGCCAGCGGGGAGCAGGCCTAAGCTGCAGTTGGACATTCTTAGCGCTGCTGAGGAGGTGGGAGAGGCTCCCACCACCACCGCTGTACTGGCAGCCGCCAGCCTGGCTTGTGGCTGAGCAGAGCTCCCCCTGTTGAAGTGCACTAACCACCAGGGGGCAGCTCGTGCATTGAGCGTCTGCCCCCTGGTGGTCAGTGTGTGTCATAGTGACCAGTCATTCTGCTGTTAGGGTCAGTTTGCATATTACCATTTTATTATATAGGCTAGAGGACTGGTGCATGGGTGGGGGCCGGCTGGTTTGCCCTGAAGGGTGTCCCGGATCAGGGTGGGGGTCCCACTGGGGTGCCTGGCCAGCCTGGGTGAGGGGCTGATGGGTGTTTGCAGGCTGGTCACACCCCCTTCAGGGTGGGGGTCCCCACTGGGGTGCCTGGCCAGCCTGGGCGAGGGGCTGAGGGCCGTTTTCAGGCTGGCCAAGCCCCCCCCGGCGACAGAAGCTCCCAGCCTTTCCTTTTTTTATCTGGGATTTATTTACCTTCTATAATTGAAACTTTGTAGCCTGGGCGGGCAGGAGGGAAGCTTGGCTTCCTCCATTGCCAGGGGCAACCCACTCCTGCTCGCTCCAGCTCCGTGGCCACAGCTGGCTGAAAGCAGGTACCTGGGGTTTATTTACCTTCTATAATTGAAACTTTGTTGCTTTGAGTGGAGCTCAGAGCTGCCACGGCAGCTGGGAAGCTTGGCGTCTTCCATCATTAGCAACCAAGCCTCCTGCTTGCTCCAGCTCGTGGCTGCCATCCGCCATCTTGGTTGGGTTAATTTGCATATAGTCGCTCTGATTGGCTGGTGGGTGTGGCTTAAGGCGTAGCGAAGGTACAGTCAATTTGCATGTTTGTCTTAGTGTAGACTAGAGGCCTGGTGCATGGATTCATGCACTGGTGGGGTACCTCGGCCTGGCCTGTGGGGATCGGGGCCAAAAATGGCTCTCCAACATCCCCTGAGGCAGTGGTCAGCAACCCGCGGCTCGCGAGCCACATGCGGCTCTTTGGCCCCTTGAGTGTGGCTCTTCCACAAAATATCACGCAGGCGCGCATGTACAGTGTGATTGAAACTTCGTGGCCCATGCGTATAAGTCGGTTTTCGGCCTGGGCGAATCTATTTTGAAGAAGTGGCGTTAGAAGAAGTGGGGGTACGTTCGCTGGGGTCGACCCCTCAGATTGAGGATGTTTTTAGCAAAGGCCAGCTTAGGAGTACCCTAATTAAGTTAATAACAATGTACCTACCTATATAGTTAAGTTTAAAAAATTTGGCTCTTAAAAGAAATTTCAATCGTTGTACTGTTGATATTTGGCTCTGTTGACTAATGAGTTTGCCGACCACTGCCCTGAGGGATCCTGGATTGAGAGAGGGCAGTTCTTGGGTGATACACCCCAGAATCGGGCTCCCTCCTCTCTGGTTCCAGGTGCGTCACCTGAGAACTGCAGCTGCCAAGTCACCACAGCTCAGCAGCTCCTGCATTAAGTGTCTGCCCCCTGGTGGTCAGTGCATGCCATAGCTACTGGTTGGAACGTCTGCCCCCTGGTGGTCACTGTGCATCATAGCTACCATTCGGACGGTTGCTTAGGCTTTTACATATATAGATATGCATTTGCAAAGTATAAGAGATGAAAATCTTTTGTAGGTCATAGAAATATAGTTATCATTTGTGACTTAATGGTTACTGGTAATTCTAACAAAAACAATGTTTTAAAAATCCAGCTCTAATAACTTTAACTTGCTTTATTACTGGAAAAATGTTATGGTTCATTTCTGTCATACAGACAACACACTTTAATGCAAGCTAGCAACTGTAGGAAACAATAAAGTTTAGTGTGATTAAGGTCTGAAAATATTTATGGAGCAGTTGCTGTATGTCAGGCACTATGCTAAAGGTCTTTTTTACATTACCTCATTCAATTCTAACAGCAACACATTGAGGCTCAAAGAAGTAAAATGACTTATCCAGGTCACAGAACTGGAAAGTAGAAGTCTTCAGGACCTATGATCTATGACTGTACCCTGCATACTAACTCTTGGGTTGTAATGTTGTCATGATTCTCCATGTTAATATCCATTTGTATACTACTTCAAAAATACTTAAAATATGGTAAGTGTCTGATCTGCAGATTTCAGACAGAAAGGTATCCCAAAGGGCTACAGCGATAACTAACTAGGTGAGCTATATATTTAGAGCATGAAGTTTCCTCATATTTAACTAAATAAGGAGCTGCTAGTCATATCTTTCAATTTCTCAAGGTAAAGAAAGAAAGTGTTAAGGCATAAACTGATATTTTTGAGAGCTACCATTTAGGTTGGGTTTCACAAACATATTGATCTTTTCAAAGGGAGAAAGAAGTCAGTTGTATGGGGGGAGAAACTGAATTCTGTGTTGGGACTTGGAATTGCAATAGCTACTCTAAAGTAACTGAAACCATCGGATTTGAACTCATCTGAATTTTAACTTCAAATTCTGGAGTTAGGTTACTTTGATGAGTTACTCTATACTTTTGCTATCACCATTTTCTTCTTATTCCTAACCCACTCCAATCTGGCTTCTAGGTCTTTCACTTCATGGAAATAGCACTTACTAAAGTGACCAATGATGTCTAAGGTATGATGTTTAAATCAACTTTTTTGCCTTCCTAACAACATTAAACACAGTTGACCATTTCTTCTACTATGGACTTAACTGTGTATCTCCCATGTTAACATGTTGAAGCCCTAACTCCCTATATGAAAAGATACAGGGCCTTTAGGAGGTATTTAAGGTGAACTGAGATCAGAGGGTGGATCACTAATCTGATGGTATTGGTGTGTCTTTAAGTTGAGGATACACCAAAAAACAGGAAGGTGGTCACCTGCAAGCCAGGATGAGAGCTCTTATAGAAAAGGAACCCTTCAGACCTTGATCTTAGATTTTCCAGCCTCCTGAACTGTGAGAACATAAATTTCCATTGTTTGCCACACAATCGATGGTTTTATTTATTAATTAATTTACTGTTATTTTTTTATAGCACCTCAAGCAGAGTAAGACAACCTCTTTCTTGAAACATTTTTTTTTTTTTTGGCTTTTGAGACAAAACACAATATTGGCTCTCCTCTGCCTCTTCTTTCTACTGCATGTCCTGCTCTCCCTGGCCAATGAATGTTGAAATTTCTCAAGGCTGAGTCTATCTAGGCTTTCTTTTCTCCTTATCCTATAATCTCTTAGGGGTTCTCCTCCTAATCAGTTTCAATCAGCGATGATATCCCAGATGTCTCCACTCCACCACCCTATGCAATACTTCGTCAGAAAGCATTTTTCTGAGTACTCAATCTAAAGAGCTCCTCCGAGAAATTCCTTAAATCTTCTGATTTCATTACCAGAATTTACCACTGTCTTGTGTTTTCTATTTTATTTTTCCTCCCACTAAAATACAAACTTGGTGAAAGTAAAGATGCTTGCTCGTCATACTATTTTCAGCACCTAGCATATAGAAACTGGATAAATATTTATTTATTTATATTAAAAAATATATTTTATTGATATTTTACAGAGAGGAAGGGAGAGGGATAGAGAGTTAGAAACATCGATGAGAGAGAAACATCGATCAGCTGCCTCCTGCACACTCCCCACTGGGGATGTGCCCGCAACCAAGGTACATGCCCTTGACCGGAATCGAACCTGGGACCCTTCAGTCCACAGGCCGATGCTCTATCCACTGAGCCGAACCGGTTAGGGCTGGATAAATATTTATTAAAAAAAAAATCTGGGACTTCTGGCCACGAAGAAGAACTGAATTTTATTGTAAGTTGCGCACTTTAAGCAACTTACAAAAACAGACACAATATATGAAATACTGTTTATTGTTTGTTTTTAAGACTGGGTGACAGAAATTGCAAGATGACAGCGATCCCTGAAAGAAGGGATGCAAAGGATGTTAAGTGCTGAATTTTCTCTGGCTACTGCTTGGTGAGTTTCCAGGCCCCAGTCTAGGGAGAGGAACCCAAAATAGCTTAGCTTGGAAATCTTCCTGAAATGAGAAGACAAACTTTGGAGGTGAGGGAGTCCACGTCAGCTAGATTTTGTGGGTCAGAGTACAGGAGAGAGAGCTGTACAGAAGGAGCTCCAGAGATCTATGTAGGGTTCCCCTGGCTTCTGTAGATACTGATCTGTGCATGATTGTTTCCCAAGGCTTTTAAAAAAACTACTGAAAAGAACCAGGCAGAAAATCCCTAGATAGAGACCTTATAGGATTAGATATAATCTGTGTTCCCACCAGCAAGAATGGAAAGACCTTCTAATACATGGGCAGGATACAGTCTTCAGGTATTGGTATTGCCTACCTAGTGGCATAAAATTAGCTCTAGGACA